AGGCCATCAATGGTCTCTCTCTAAAGAGGTCAGCGATCGCTGGATCACTCTGCAAGACATGCCAATGTTTATTAATAACATGTTTAACATGTCTTGACTTGGTGGAGTATGTGGTGACGCATGGAATATGATTAGATCTTTTTCTCTTGCTCTTACCCTGGATTCTCAACAAAGAGGCTCTCTCTCTGTCTTTCACTTTGGTCAATGCTTCTTGTAAGGCGGTTTCCTCATAGCCCCGTGAACGAAAATCTTCCAACATTCTCCTCGCCTGGGTGTCAAAATCAGCATCTTGTAAAACAATCCGTCTCACACGTAGTAGTTGACTAAAAGGAAGGCTTTGGATCATGCTGGTAGGATGAAACGAGTTTGCCTGTAGAAATCCAACCTTATCAGTAGGCTTTCGAAACAGATCAAAGCATAGACCATCATTGACTTTACTCACCTGAACATCCAAGAAATGTATACTGTTAGTGTCGTGCTCCAAAGTAAATTTAATGCTTGACACACATTGATCCAGATCCATTTTAAATGATAGAAGATGTGCCTCTGAGCCATTCCAAAGAAAGAAAACATCATTGATGTATCGAAACCACACTGATACAAATCTAAATAAAGGATGTGTATAAACGAAGTCTTCCTCAAACTTGGCCATGTACAGGTTGGCGTATGATGGAGCCATATTGGCCCCCATCGCCGTACCCTGTATCTGCAGAAAAAAATCATTTCCAAAGGTGAAATAATTACATGACAGTACCACATCAAGTAGCTGCAAAATGAACACATACAAATGGGAATCCAATCTCAATCTATCCAAAGCCTGTGCCGTAGCATCCATGCCGCCACTGTGCGGAATGGATGTATACAAACTGCATACATCCATCGTGCACAGAAGTGTATCCCTGCAAGAGAATCCCATACTATCCAATTTGCTAAGAAAGTCACTGGTATCCCGTATATAGGATCTCATCTGTACCACCAACACTTGGAGATAAGCATCAACATATTGGGCCAAGGGCTGTAACAACGAACCACAACCAGACACAATCGGCCTACCCGGAGGATTCACAAGATCCTTGTGAATCTTAGGGAGCAGATACAGGAAGGGTACCCGAGGAGTAGTAGTATTTAAAAACTCATCGATCTTTTTATTAATAACACCCTGATTCAAAGCCTCAAGGGTAATAACCCCAATCCTTTCCTGGAACTCTTTCGTTGGATCCCCCATAAGTTTCCTATAGTGTATCTGGTTGGATAACTGTGTCATGGCCTCAGTATTATATTTGTCAGCATCCATAACAACAATGGCCCCACCCTTGTCCGCAGCTCGGACAAGGATGGAGTCATCGCTCCCAAGGGCTCCAACCGCCCTCCATTCATCTGACTTCAAATTAGACGAACATCTCCTGGACCAATTAATTTTGGAAATCTCCAATTGACATAATTTGATGAAGGTTTCTACTGTGGAATTGGTAGCAGGTGGAGTAAACTTACTTTTATTTTTGCATTTGGATAAATCCACAGCATTAACCCCAATTCCAACTTCAACTTCATCCATTTGAATCTCCATGGATGAATCGTCCCCTGCAAAAAAAAGCTTTTAAGCGTAAAGAACGAAAAAATTCGTACAATTCTATGTCCAAATTCAATTTGTCGCCCTCAAAAGAAGGGACAAACCCAAGACCCTTATTTAGTACTGAGATCTCACTTACTGATAAAATCCTCCTAGAAATATTCACCACTAGCGTCTCCATGTTCTCCTCTCCCTCTCCTGTTACCTCCGAGGGGGATGATTTACTGCGGCCTCTCTTGCCTCTCCTTTTCTATTTATCTGTTTTTTTTCATATTTCTTCTTATTATCTATTTGCCTTATATAGGAGCTTTATTTGGCTCCTTGTGTATTTCTAGCTGTTCATAATTATTTTTGCTCCGTTTTCTTACACATACACATTATAGCCACTTTGGGGCTTTAATTATGTTGCTTGAACGCATGCGCAGGACGCAGACCGGCTTTGTTTGCCGGATATATTGGAACACAAATCTATGGCCATACCAGTCTGATAATGCCTGATCTCGTCAGATCTCAGAAGCTATCCAGACTTAGGCCTGGTTAGTACGTGTATGGGAGACCAACTAGGAACCTCTATTTCATTCAGCCGATTCCCGGGTTCGGCAACTTGAAACGCATTCTGCTGCTCGCACCTCGCTTTCACTCAGGACGGATTGATTTTTATCTTTTCCAGTAGCCTGATCGGCTGATCTCTGTTCTGGGTGTATTGATTCATTTTATGTGTATGTAATATATGTTTTACTTTTTGTTCATGTGAAGACCTTTAGTCTGTTCAATTGAATATGCTGTTATTTGTAATAGGATTTATTTTTTACAGTATTACTTACCATGGCACTGATGATGAACTGTTACTGTCTTTAATGCATGCGTATATGGATGTCTTTAATTTGATTTGTACTATTATATTTATTTGCAATTCTTCTTGATGCTATATATGTATGATAGGTGTGTATATACTTGGTTTCCTTGGTAACCATAAACAGGTGTTTGATGGTTGGGAGGATCTCAATCACTATGGGTGGCCACCCATTACTTTCAGGTGTTTTTATTTTAATTTTGGTGTTTCTTGTGGGTATATAAGGGGAGAACTTAGTTTCTTCTCAACATGCTCCCTTGACAAAGGCTCTTCAGCCGAAACGTGTTTTTTTTTTTTATTGACTCTGTCCCTACTTCTCACTGAATTTGGTATGGTTTGCTGCATTTTTTTATATGTCTGGGTTTTCATTATGCTAGTATTATAGTGGACTGTTTGCATGATATTTCTTTCATTCATTTATTACGCATTGAGCGTTTATGTTTGCCTATATCATTGCTTTTCTGGTAAATGCTTTTGAATAGCATGACTTTGTACCTCTGTGGATAATATTTAAAGAGACAGTCCTATAGTATATACCCATTTAATAAAGATTTTTTCATATATATATATAAAGATTTATGGTTGTGCTCCTTACTCTATTCACACAGCATACTGTACAATTGTCATATTTGTTTTACATTTATTTACTTATTTGTATTTATTTCATTTTATATATTTATTTATATTTATCTTCCTATCTAGTATTATATTGTGTTTATTGTACTTGGATGTCTTTATCCTGCATTGCTTTTCTGTGCACTGTTTGTTTCTCACTTACCCAGGGTCCAGACCTCCCCTACTGTATTCTATTCTCCTTTTCCGTCCTCCCTGCCCTTGGCGTAATTTTGCGCATGTTCTTTCTCCCCTACCCGGCTGTGTATGCGCGTGAATTAAGCCTATTCGGCTGATTCACCGCACATACATACCATTCCCCATTCGGCAGACAGCGTGTTCGCATGTTTGCCGCATTCGAAATTTTCATGCCAACGGCCCGTTCGCCTACTCTATATTCTCTTATACTTACCTATCTGGTTCCCGAATTCACCTTTTTTTTTTTTTTGCCGCGAATCTCGCGGATGCCGCAAATCCCGCAAGATTACCGGCGGCCATTTTCAGACTTCCTGTCTTCTTTCCTAGCCTGCATCTTAGTGTGCCACTGGTCTGGGCCCTGGTGAGAGCGTTTTAGTTTTTGTCTATTGCTGTTTGGGTGACTAACCCATACTATTCCTATTGTTAGGTTATACTCTCTGCTAGTTTAACATGCCTAAACCCAGACTATCCTCTGGGTCCACTCCCTCTGGGGAGTCTGATACCCCACTCATTAGGAGTGAGGCCCCTGTCACCTCAGGCAAGTCACCCATCATGACAGATGGAACTACCCACCCTGATGGGGCACAGTTCCTAGCGCTGCAGCGCTCGGTGACAGACGCCATTATGGCGGCCGTGGGGTCTATGTCCTCCACCCTCTCCCACACCATTTCACAGGCACTCTTGCCACGTCCTTCGGACGAGCAATTCTCGGGCTCCTCGACGCCTTTACCGCGTCCCACTGTGAACCCTCAGGGAGAGATCTATAAAAAGGCTACCCATAAGTCCAAACACCCCTCTGCCTCCAGAAACACCATGACTGGCGTACCTTCGGTCGCCCCAGAAAGCGTGTCCCATCCATGCAAAAGAGCCTTTCCGCGCCAGGCAGAACGGGCGCGGCTATGGAAATGTGCCAGAGCACAGCTAGATAGCGACTCTGACTCAGAAAACGGGTCAAATGAGGAGGCTAAGAGCGAGTCGGACAGTGACTCTGATGCGGATGCCGCTGATACTGGCTTTGACCTCCTTTCCTCTGCTCAGGCAAAGATGCCCGGAGGCGAGACAGGGATCAGGAACCCCGCGGCCGCGGGGTCCACCCTTGTGGATCCGTCGGGTGTCCCACTCTTCGTCCCGGATGACCTACACCATCCGAGATCGGCAGAGTGGCTCCCGGCTGACCACGTTGCCACATATTTGGAAAATTGGGTGAGACGACCATTGAGTAAATCGGCCCGCAACAAATTGAGGGCAGAGTGTCCTAGGCCTGTGGTGCCTAATAAAGTCTGTGACACTCCGGAGGTAGACCCCAAGATGACCCAGTTCCTCACTAAATTGGGCTGGAACCCCTGTAAAGGTCTGGAATCTGCATTATAAAAGAATTAGGGCGCTTTGTTGGAGCGTTCACAGTCCTAGACAAGGCCCAAGCCTCCATGAGGCAGGTGTTCCAGGGGCGGGTCTCTACCAGGGCCGGCAGATTCAGGAGCCGTCTGGCCGGCCGCAGTTACCCCCAATCACTGGAAGAGGCTCCTTCCAACACCGTACGCAGTACCAGGATTCTAACTCACGCCCCACATTCTTCCCATCTCATGGACGTCCATGGCGATCCAGAGGCTTTCGGGGCAACCCAAGTTCAAGACGACCATACGGTGAGTTACCTCATACTTCTTCTCTCAGTTGTGTAGGGGGCAGACTCCAACATTTTTTTTTTTTTTTTTCAGCCTGGTCACAAATAACATCAGACCCCTGGGTGCTGACCACTATTCGGGGTTTCCATATAGAACTCATAAATCATCTGATACACATTCCCCCTCCTCGACCAATCTGCTTTTCCCTCCACTATAGCAGATGGATCGACGAGGAACTCTCCACCCTCCTTATCAAAGGGGCTATAGAACGAGCACCTCCCAACCCCGCAGGTGTCATTAGCAACATCTTCCTGGTGGAAAAGAAAGGCGGTCAATTGAGACCCGTCATAAATCTACGCCCCCTCAATGCCATAGTCAGGTACTGTGTAATAACTGGCTGTGTTTTTCTGTCAGTTGAATAAGTCTTTTATTTATATATATATATATTTCTTCTTTTGGGTCAGGCTCGCCACAATAATATGTCTATATTATTGAAAAGTACTAATACGCAATCTGACGTTCTTTATAAAAAATGAGTATTTATTCTACATTCAACAGGAAACAATCATATACTTAACAGATGGTAAATCTTAACGACATTACAGAGAGTCGTCTTGACATCAGAGAGGAGAGCAAACGGATCGTAGCAGGAAGAGACTGTAATCCTTTGTCCTTGGCTCTATATACCCCAAATTACGTCATAACGTTTAGTTTAGACCCTGCAATATAAGGAAGTTCCCTACATAAAGACTGCCTCAGATCTCTTATACAGCAAATTCCAGAGACCTCATATTACAGAGTAGCAAACACCATCTGTTCTGTTTAACCCATTAGACAGCCACATCTTAATATGTATTTGAATAGGAACATACAGAATATTCAATATTCTACATTTCCCTCTGTTTTTGGTTTATTTATAAACCATAACAAAATGTTATTTACCTGTCCATTCATACATCATTCGTATCACATTTCATATCACAGTCGTTGGGTATAAGAAGAGATGTGTTCATAGCTACCCGGTATCTGAGATTCCTTGGAAGTATTGTGTAGTACCCTGTTTACAGTTTCCTTTAGTGTATTCTCCTTCTGTTTAGCCTTTTCATTTATGAGTATATACAGTTTTCTAATTCTACATTGCATAATTACTTGTAAAACAATACATATTATAGATACACATACAACAATAATAAATGGATGAAATAAAATATTTACAATTGCTGATCCTACAGATGATTTAGCAAGTGTGTTTGTGCTTTTAATTATGTCATTCCACCAAGAGGAACTAGAAACAATTGACCATTCATGTTCTATCTCCTTTAATTTACCCTGTTCATGTTCAAATTGAATTTCTGTTTCTTTCAACTGTTTTTGTAATGAATATAATAATATCTTGTCTTTCCTAATCTCATCTGCCCACTTTCTCCATGGAAACTCATTTGTTTGTGAAACATTTAATTGAATAGGCATAATATCTATATCTTGTATAGGACTCTTCGATATGTTAACTTGAGTTCCTTGAATATGTATTATTAGTGGACCCCCATTGATACAATATAACCCTTTCTGTAATGTTTCTGAATGTGTACAGTCTGAAAATGTAGCTCTTGCTAACTCATTATTTGACATAACCTGTACACATACTTTGTCTTTTTCTATGGGAGTTACAATTTCATGAGGATTTTTAACTGTTTTAATTTTACCAGAACATGTACTTTGGTTATGAAAACATGAATGATAAATGGTTTCAACTTGGTTATTTAAACATATTATTATTTTGGATGCAAAATGTAGACAACTAGAAAGATCTACCTGCTCAAGTTCAGTAATGTTATTATAAGATACAAAATCAGGATATTGTAATTTATAAAATAATAATTGTGTGTTACTAATAGGAATTTCTAATACCGACATTGAAAATTGGTATTAAAGAAGAACTTATACATATATCATTGTTACATCTCAACCATTTGTTAACCCATAAATCTGTATGATTTTTAGCGAACGCAAACTCCTCAGGTAAACTACGTTTGAGTTCTATATGAGTAGTACCACCTTGTAATGCATGTGCCATCACCTTAAAATCTGTAGAATATTCAACTTGTATCTCTAAACAAGCTTTGGCTATCTGGGATGAATCTGCATTTCTCATTAAAGCCAAAGTAGCTTCCTGTAAATGTTGAACAGAGGGTGCAATAACAGAGGCTGTGTTCATAACCATATTTTTCAATATTTGATTTAAACCTCTTTAAATATGCAATCCTTTTTCCCCTATTAACCCTACAGTTCCCAACTCATTCTTTAATGTTTGAATATCCATAGAATCGGTGATACTTACTTTGGTACCAAATCCAGCCATAATTCCTTCTACTATATCTCTTTTTTTTCTGTTTGATACTTTACTTCCTCCAAACCAATGTTCTAAGCCTCGTTCCATATTTAATAAATGTTCTTTACATTGTGGAAATTTACTTGAGATTTTCCACTGAGAAACATTAAAATGCCAAATTATTGTTGCAAATTTCCCATCTAATAACGAAGGCTTTGATTGAAAATGATTCAATTGAAAGGGACTTGATAACTTAAAAACCTTATTTTTGCATTCTACCATTCTGGGAGAGAATACATTTACCTTAACATCACCACATCTCTCATGATGATTTCTTAACATTAAACAACATTGATAGTTTCCACTATCACTGTAGGTAGGATTGTCTAAATAGAAAACAAACATTTCTTCCGACCAATCCACCTTTCCTAGTACACCTCTGTGAATAACCTTTGTCGTTGTATGTGACATACTACCAAAAAACATTCCTTCCCTTTTCCATGTCATTACAGACTCAGGGGGTAAACTTATATGTGTACTACATGTTAATCTAATTCTTTCCTTTCCTTCCTGGATATCTACAAGACTAGGCTTCATTATAATATCTCGCATAACATAATCAGTTACCAGAAACATCATGTTAACTCTTACTGTCAACGATTCCCTAGATGCTCGTATTTCCCATATCCAAGGTATACCTGGAGTATTGTTTTTTAAGAGGAATTCTGGCTCTAAATGTATAAGCCAGTATTGAATTGTATAAAGTACCTCACCACCTCGTCCTCGCGTTGTTACTGAAGTTTGTGCAACGTTCACATACATGTCACCTGACCAATTTACCATTTCCTCTCCATTAACTACAATCATGATATATGCATTTTGTAATATGTTAAGTTCCCATGATCCCGTTTTTACATTGTCTTGTACAAATGAACCTTTGGTCCAACTAAATAAATCATTACGACCTATTGTAATGTTTAAATTAATAACACTATCTCCAGTGAAATTAATTCGCACATTGCATACTTGTAGATAGCCATCTTTTGTCCCGAAACAAACATGACCTTTTAATACTTGTTCATTGTCTCTCTTTTTTCTAATATTTCCAAATAAGTCATTCTTTAATTCCTGATTGAAAGTCGTTTTGTTCATCTTAAAAATAACTATTACAAGAAAACTGTAGTCATCAATGTTAGCAGGATGCTGACGAACACCTTCTTTCTGCTACACGGTTGTCTTTGCGAACACATCGTCTGTCACCGGCCAACTTTCGTCTGTAGGTCTGCTTACAAATTATCTAAAATAAACCAAGAAAAACAAAGCAGTATCAATATATTACCAAATTATGTTGTAGGTTTATACAATTTACACTGATCTGCATGAACCCAAAAACAATTTTGCCTCCGTTTATTCCGTGAACCATCAAGAGGTCTTTGCACTTGTACCATTGTTTGACCCATTGTATCTGTTATGTTATAAGGACCTTCCCAATTTGCCTCCCAAGGTCCAGTTTTCCTAAAAGTTTTTATCATGACCATACCCCCCTTTAAAAACTTTGAAAAATCAGGAGGTGCCATTTTGCACATACGAGTAGCTGCATGTGGAAGAATTTGCTCCAAATTTTCCTGCAGCATTTGCAACCATTTATTTTTAGCATTTGCATCTTTCTGTGGAGTAGACAAATATGGTTCATTAGGAAAATTCAACTGCATTTTCCTACCTGTCATCAATTCAAATGGAGTGTATTGTGTAGCTGAAGACATAGTGCCTCTAATACCCATAAGTACAGCAGGAAGTGCCTGTACCCATGTGTTGCCTTTCTCAAGTAACATTTTTGAAAGTCTAGATTTCAATGTTCGATTCATACGTTCCACAATCCCAGCAGATTGAGGATGATATGGAACATGAAATCTCTGCTCTATGCCTAGAATAGCACACAGTGCTTGCATGATTTTCCCTGTGAAATGGGTACCTCTGTCTGACTCTAGAAGTCTAGGAAATCCCCATCTTGAGAAAATGTGTGTCCATAATGCTTCAGCCGTTTTTTGTGAATCATCTTTAGTCAGAGGAATTACTTCTAACCATTTAGAGAATACATCCACAACTACTAATGCATATTTTAATCCATTCTTACCTGTTGGTAATGGCCCAATAAAATCAATTTGTAAAGTAGTCCAAGGACCATTTGCAGGTGCTATATGTTGTATAGGTGTTTTTTGTCCTTTAGGTCTGGGATTTATTTGTGCACATATCAAACATGATTGCACTACCTGTTGTACAGTCTTTTCCATGTTATCCCAATAAAACTTATCTCTGAGTACCTCTAACAATTTCTGCTGTCCAATGTGAGCTAAACTTTCATGATTTATATTGAGTAAATAACACTTTTAGATGTTCTGGCATGACCGGACACAGTTCTCCGTTTTGGTCATGACCCAAAACCCCGTTCTCATGAACAAATTGAGGTTTTGGATCAACCCGAGAAGCCGCAAGGGACGAATCCTTTGCCTATTCTTCTGCAAAAGATGGAGGCTGTGTGTTAGTCTTTCTAACCACTGCTACTGACATAGGCTCTGTCTGCAATGCATTTTCACCAGTTAAAGCTGCTCTTTTTGCAAATTTATCAGCTATTTCATTTTCTTCACTAAGTAAATCTTTACCTTTTTGATGGGCAGGAACTTTAACTATAGCATGTAAACATGGCTCTTGAGACACAATTCCAAATATGGTCTCTAGTGTCTCTTTGTGTGCTAACACTTTATTTGAGGCATCTACGAACCCTCTTCTTTTCCATATAGCTAAATGTTCTGTTAGCCACATATGAACTATCACTATATATCACTAGGGGATGCCCTTCTTTTTCCTCAAGTGTCAGTACTGTTTTTAATGCTTCTAGTTCTGCTCTCTGTGCTGACAAATGACCTGGCAATTTATGCTCTACTGAATATCTTGGTTTTGGATACCATATAGCATAACCTGTATAGTACTTCCCATCTGAACAGAATCTGGACCCGTCAACAAACACAGGTTCATCAGATTCACTTGCTTCCTTTCTGAAAAGAGAGAGAAAATTCTCTTCAACTTCTGCTAAACATTTATGGGGTTTACCCTCATATTGCATTAGTTGTGGAAGTACATACTTTGCCTTATGTTCTACCTTAATTTGCTTTGGTGATAGAGCTATTAACCATCATGAAAATCTCTGATGTGACACACCTGGAATTCCTTTTTCAAGAAGTAATTTCAAAGGTGTGTGTGTGTGGTGTTTGCAGAATTATGTCCTTGAATCCCACTATGTGTTCAGTTGCCATTACCGCAAAATGTACTCCTACCAAATGTCTGGCACAAATTTCTAGTCCTCTTTCCACTGGGGAAAGAATTTTAGAAAAATATCCCACTATTCTCCATATCTCTTGCTGCAATTGTAATAGTACTGTGGAGACAGCCGTTTCTGAAGTATGTACTTTAATTGCAAAAGATGCAGTTGGATGTATTGTCGCTAAAGCAGGTGCAACCTGTAAGTCTCTTTTAAGTACCTCAAATGCATTCTGATGTTCATCTGTCCATGGTCCAAATGAAGATTCACTATTTTTCAAGAGATCATATAAAGGTTTGGCTTTTTCAGCGAACCCTTCAATAAATTCTCTGGAAAAATTCATTAATCCTAGGAACTGGCGTAAGGCCTTGTGTGAAGTCGGTACAGGAAGCGAAGAAATTGTTTTGATTCTTTCCTGCACTGGCTTCTTATGTCCTGGACCAATGTGTACACCCAAGTATTGTACTTCTGGTTGCATCAGTGTTACTTTGCGTGTATTCAGTTTTAAACCAGAATCCTGCAAAAGGAAAAATAATTCATTTAACAGAATCAGGTGTTCTTCCTCAGTTTCAGTCTTCAAAAGCATATCATCAACATATTGTAACAAGCATTCTGGCCTAGAAAACGTAGACAAAACATTTGCCAATGCCTGATGAAAATATGTTGGAGAACTGTGAAAATCCTGGGGTAACACAGTAAACACATATTGCTGATTTTGAAAAGTAAAAGCAAACTTATACTGACAACTATGCTTTAGTGGTACAGAGAAAAACCCATTACTTACATCTAGTACTGAGTATACCTTAGCCGTTGACGTCAATCGTGACATTATATCTGGGGTTTCTGCCACCACATGTGCAGAAGGTGGTGTGTATTTATTTAATGTACATAAATCAATTGTTAATCTCCAGGACTTCGATTCTTTTTTCAAAATTGGCCACAGATTATGATTGAATGGACTATTTGCTTTTCTAATTACTTCTCTCTGTTCCAAATCATTAATGACACTTGCAATAGAATCAATTGAATCTGGGGGTAATCTATACTGCCTCTGTGGGAGTGGATCAGGACCTTGAATGTCAATCAGCACATTTTTAAATCTTCCACATTCATTTTTACTTTGTGCCCATAAATCTGGATAACTCTGTACAATCTCTTTAAGTTCAAGGTTATCCCTAGTATTAGGCCATTGCATTTCTGTAGACACTACATCTACTGGACAAACAATTCCTAGCTCCCCATATTCAGTAGGATCCAATAGCACTGGTTTCCTACCCTTAGCATCTTTCCAAATAGCTTTGTTTCCCAAATCAACAATCCAACCTCTTTTTTGCATAACATCTGTGCCTATGATATTATCAACATTTTTGCAGTACCAGATATCAATTTTTGTTTTTAAACACTGAGGTATTTCTAAAGTAACATTATTTACTAATGTTGCCATAGATCCTCCACTTCTGTCAAAACCTACAATTGTACATATAGGTGCACTTGGTGATAAAGGTAGTTGTAAACTAGTTATACTTAACTGAGCACCTGTATCAACAAGAAATTCCGTGTCATAACCTTTTAAAGAACATTTAATGTATGGTCTACCACATCCATCTAAATTTAATGGAGCCAAAAATTCAAGTGGACGTGGCCTGATTCCTTTAGATTGTCATTGTGAATTTAAAATTTGGTCAGTCTGATTAGACATGTTAGAAATCCCACCCTGTCTGTCTCCTGAGTTTGAGGAAGCTACAATTTCTCTCACTTGCCTTATTAGAGGAGTATATGGTGAATCTCTGGTGTTTTCTACATTAGGATTATTGTGAATAAATCCATTTGATTTGCCATAATCCCTTGATTGTAAATCATGAAAATAACTCCTGCAGTTTCTCTTTATATGACCTGGCTTGTTACAATAGAAACAGACCAGACTATGTGTCGAGTTTCTTTCATAGTGTGAGTGGGGCATATTAAAACTTGGAGCTTCTCTCCTCTTTGTCTGAGTTCTAGCAGCTGCAGGAGGCGAGGGAGGAGGAGACTTTCTGTATCTGGGTTTGTCCTCTCCCTTTTCTCTCCTAACTGCACAGACTGATTTTTTTTTAATATTTTGTTGTCTGGATTCCCTTCTCACCCTATCTAGAAATGATGCAGCATCTTCAATATTTTGACACTGGAGAGCGCATGCAATTGATATTGGATCAAGATATTTAAATTTCTTTACAAATGCATTTATCATAGATTTTGGTGTCTGATCATCAGGAATACTCATTACCAATCTGTATGCACGCTCAAATTTTAAAAGGAAACTGAAGACTTCTTCATTTATATTCGGTTTTAAATTTTCTAAAATCTCAATATCCACATGTTCATTTCCTGTTGTTAATCTTATTAATTGTGTCAATCTATCTCGCTCATTCCCATGGACTATTTCACCATCTTCGTCATTAGGGGTACTTATGGGTGGGGTCAGTCTACGTGCAATGTATGTTGGCAGCCATATTTTAAACAATCTGTTCCTTTGTTCGTCATTCAAATTATGTTTCGATAAATTAGACTCAAATATGTCTGCATTACCAAAGGCATCCATTGATGGATTATATGGGGGAATATCTTTGGTAACTTTCATCAACTGCTCTTGAATTTTTAATTTAAGTTTTGCAGCCTTATCTAACAATTTTCTACATTGCAAATCAGACTGGGATGATATTTCTGTGACATCAACTGGCTCTGGTATCAAATTATGATCACTCCTTGTAATCACACACAACTGTTTGGCTTCAGTTCTAAGTTTACAAATTAATTCAGATTTAAGATCCAGTTGTTCTCCCAAATCATAAATACTTGCCTGTAGTCTATCACAGTTAGTACATTTCATTTCTGTTACACATACAGATTTCTCTTTACTGTCTGTCTGTGTACTTTTTAAATCTTGCACCTTTACTTGTGCTGGCACTTGCAATTTTGTTGGAGCCACTCCTGTTCCAAGGATCATTGTGTCAAATGTTTCTACCAATTTTAAAACATTTCTAATTTTCTTTTTTGTTTTATTTAAACATAACAATTTATTATCAATAGCTGCATTTGCTTGTTTACATTGTTCATACAAACTTGCCCACAATTGACTATCTGTATGGCATCTATCAAACACAAAATCAAGTTTACTTTTCTCTGCAATATCAGTAACAAAATCCATTATTACTCACCAGACAAGATGATCTTTAATGCACGACACCGTCTGCCTTTACTCGTACAGCTGCGCACTGTGGATTTGCTTCTGGAAACTTGCCAATCTCTGCCATGTGCTTGCTTCTAGATTTCACGTTGTATCTTGTGCTGCTTTCTTTATAACACGTGCTTTTGTCTGTTGTAGAATATAATCTTGGAACAGTCTTTGTGATTTGAAAATCTTTGTCTTCTGATAAGCACACACGGCTCTTAACACAGCTTTTAACACGTTCTTTTTTTCTGTTTCTGGCTGCACACACTTCTATTCAACACAAAAAGTAATTCGATATCCGTGCTCTCTCTGCTCAACTCCCCCCCCTGAATAGAAGTTTGTAACAGCAGAAAACAGTCTGGCTGGCTCGAGAGTCGTCTTGACATCAGAGAGGAGAGCAAACGGATCGTAGCAGGAAGAGACTGTAATCCTTTGTCCTTGGCTCTATATACCCCAAATTACGTCATAACGTTTAGTTTAGACCCTGCCATATAAGGAAGTTCCCTACATAAAGACCGCCTCAGATCTCTTATACAGCAAATTCCAGAGACCTCATATTACAGAGTAGCAAACACCATCTGTTCTGTTTAACCCATTAGACAGCCACACCTTAATATGTATTTGAATAGGAACATACAGAATATGCAATATTCTACATACCGCCATTTCAAAATGGAGGGTATTAACCTACTAAGAGATCTCCTCTTCCACGGAGATTGGCTAGTGAAGCTAGACCTCAAGGAGGCGTACCTGACAGTGCCGATAGCAGCGACTCGGCGGTGAGATATGTCAACCACCTGGGTGGTACACAGTCGGCTGTCCTGGCCAGACTGGCGAAAGACTTTTGGGAATTTTGCCTGGATCAGAACCTGATGGTCTACGCAGAATAATTACCTGGCCTGCACAATGTCCAGGCGGACTGGGGTTCACGGTATCTTTCAGACACCAGCGACTGGAGATTGGCCGAGGAGGTGTTCTCCAATATCATCTCTCTGGGGACCATTCACCATCAGCCTTTTCGCTTCCCGGCTCAATGCCAAGCTGCCACGCTTCTTCAGCTGGAGGCCAGATCCAATGGCGGAGGCAGTGGACGCCTTCCTGCAAGAATGGAGCGAAGCTCTCCTATATGCCTCTCCCCCATTCTCCATGATCCGGCGCTCACTCCTGCAGACCCGCAAACACCGGGCAGAAGTGGTCATGGTGACCCCCTTTTGGGAAACGCAGTCGTGGTTCCCCCAAATGCTCGAGATGACGATAGACTATCCCCGAGTACTGCTGGAATACCACAACTTGCTGCGGGATCCGACGGGACGATAGGCTCTCTCCCACTTCTGGCATGGCGGATCTCAGGGGACCCTGGGAAATCCAAGGAGCTTCGGACACGACTAGATGCCCGGCACTAGACGGGCATATGGGTCAGCTTGGCGAGCTTTGGCTGGCTGGTGCATGGCTAGGAACACGGATCCCATTTCGGCCTCTGTAACAGTGGTCCTGCAATTTCTGACGTCCCTCTTCGAGACTGGAAAGGCTTACAGGACTATCAACCTTTACCGGTCTGCCATCTCGGCGATTCACCAAGGCTTCGATTGATACCCCGCGGGACAGCACCCCTTAGTGTGCTGTCTCCTTAAGGGTTCTCGATTCTCACGACCACCCAGGCTCCACGACCTGGGACGTCTCCGTTGTGTTGGCTTTCCTCTCATCCTGGCCCCCTAACTCAGGGCTCTCCCTAAAACAGCTATCTGCCAAATTGGTTTGCCTGCTCTGCCTTGTTTCTTGCAAGAGGGTTTCGGATGTCAGAGCACTGGATTTCAATGCCAGGTCATATACCCCGGATGGGGTAACATTCAACATCAGCCGGCGGACTAAGACGTCTATCAAATCGGTATCCTACCCTATTTTCCCTACCTCTCCGTCACTATGTCCAGTGGCCTGCCTACGCGAATACGAAACTCGCACCAACTCTCATCGCTCTGCCACCTCTCCTCAGTTATTTTTATCATTTCGTCCCCCCTTCCACCCGGTTTCTAGCACAACCTTGTCACGATGGGTGAAATGGCTGTTGTCCCAGGCAGGTATTGATACCACGTTCTTTGGCGCCCATTCGGTCCGGGGGGCCTCAGCCTCTTCCATGATGTCTGCAGGCGCATGCCTGGAGGACATTATGAGGACGGCTGACTGGTCAAGGGAGTCTACAATCCGAGAGTTTTACTTTCGACCGGCCCCACAACATACATTCGCTGCGGTAATGGATCAGCTTTAAACTTGCAATATGAGCCTCCTTGTCTTGTTATAAAATTACATGATTTTGCTATTACATGACGAAAAGTCATGATTTTATGAAAGACACGGAGGCGAGTATTGTCCCACCCTTCTCATTCTTACACAGTTGTAATAATTTTTTTCCCTCCCAGGATTATTCACGCTACAATACACCACATCAAATGGTTTAGTACGGTAAATGGGGCCATACTGCGAGAATGATGTTTATGTCACATAATGGTATCTCACTCTTTTTCTGGGACTGTGCATATGTGGGCTACTTCTCACCCGTGTAACCTTGAAACTAGTTACAAGTATCGACTTTAACCTGTCGGCTCCTGTTCCTTTATGTTTTCACAGCTTAATTCGACAAGAAGGCAAGCAGTCATCCGGCAAAGGAGGACTCCCCCGCTGTTATCCGGTGGTCCTATGAATCCTATGGTCAAGCTTCCCAGTTGTTGATGATCTACCCTCTTAAGTTATAAGTTATTACCTTGGGACTTTTCTCTCACTACTCTTGTTTTGGACATTTTACCTTGGTCGCATCTTCAGAAAGAGGGAAATGAAAGGGAAGTGCTGCCTATTATACTGGGACCTGAACGGGGAGGGGCCTATGTTACTGCATGTTCATTATTTTTCATTCTTTATGTATTCTTTGCTGCTATTGGTGGACAGTAAAGAAAGGGATATGCAATACTCGCCTCCGTGTCTTTAATAAAATCATGACTTTTCGTCATGTAATAGCAAAATCATGTAATTCCTCTTCTTTATGCTCTAGAGAAGAAGACGTCTCACAGAAGGTGTTATAGACTTAAATTCTTTAATGATCTCGTTAAAAGTAGCCGACCAAGCCAATTCTTGCTCAGTATATAATATCATGAGTGCATCCAGGCGTTCTTGGGACATTATACTCCTCAGTTTTTTTTTTTTTACATGTGTCAGTTTTGAAAAGGCTCTTTCACATGAACAGCCTGTCACAGGTATCACTGTAAAGCACTGAACACACTTATAAAAAGCATTAAATGTGTTGGATCGATCTGATTCTTTAAACCAATCAAGCCACTCTTTGATGGTATTTGTGGTTCAACCTTTAGGAGTAGGTCCATCATACTCCCTTAGCAGTTTGCCTTCTGCTTCCAATTCATCCACTGACACCTTAAATTTGTTGGCAAGGATTTCTAGGTCACATTTAGGAATCTCCAAGTTTAGCAGTTTTCCTACTGCAGTTACAATATCACACGACTCCTGTTCAAATCGCTGGTCAGTACCAGTTATCAATGAATCCAATAGTGGGTAAAATGAAGTTATCCTCTCCTGCTCCTCTTTTGTTTCATAGTGATACTGAGACTGTGCTGCTTCATCAAGAAGGACAAAAGGTTTTCTCTTCCTAACTGGGGGAATGGCGATGTTATTTTCAGTACACTTTTTTTCACAGTCATAGAAAATGGACTGAAAATAATCTGGGTCACTTCTCATGGAAACCAAGGAGTTGCGCAGGCTTTTCACCACTGCCATTGCAGTAAGCAAGACCCCTTGCTTTTATTTTAGCATCAGCTAAGCAACTTGATTCAATTATCTCATTTAAGGCCTGTAAAATAACCGAGAAGTGTTCTTTTACTGCAGCCACTGCTTCTGCTCTGCATGCCCATCTGTTTGACAGTGACTTTAGAGTCCCTACGTCTTGAGAAATCTTCTCCATTACATCATGTCTCACAGGACTTCCCTCCATGAAGGCATAAAGTGTCTGGATAATGCCAAATAAGTCAAACACTGTTCTGTTTTGTCTACTTGAGGTGCATGCATCAACTAGGACAAGGTTTAAACAATGTGCATAGCAGTGTACATAGAGTATTTCATGTATTTTTTTTTTTTTCTTTACATTTCATCTGAACACCTGCAGTGCATCCAGACATAGTAGATGCTCCATCAAAGCACACAGAGATCACTGATGACCAGTCGGTTTTAATAATTTCAAGAACATTATTTGGTCAAAAATCGACTGAGCATCAACTTTTAAAAGCCTTTGAATTGAAACAAAATGCTCAACTGGACTTTGCTGTTCATTATTAAAATATCGTACTACAACAGACATCTGTTCATGGTGTCCACAGTCAGCAGTATCATCTGCAATTATTGAGATCATTTTTCCATTTGTTGCTGACACAATTTGTTGTTGCACAATATTATGTAAGGCCATAATTAAATCATTCTGGAAGCGGTTACTCAGATATGTAGCATTTCGAGGAGAAATGTCTTTGCATGACAGGATCTTATTTTTCTAGTAGATTGACAATATTTAGAAATAAACCTCTCTCGTGGCTATCGGCTTTTTCATTGTGACCTCGAAATGGTCTTCCACCTGTTGCCAAACGCCGAACAATGTCAATCAGTCGCTTCATAAGATTTCTGTTCTTGCACCTTTCTTCTTCTTTTTTTGATAGATAAATTTTCTTTCTCTCATCTAGTAACACATCAATATGTTTTCCTTCACTAAAGCTTGACCATGCAGAAGTGCTCAGCATATGAGATTTTGATTGTTGGTGAGTTTTAAAACATTCATTAGCCCTGTGCCAGTTTCTGAATCCCTTTTCAATAAAGGCTGGATCAGCGTGACCTTTTTGTGTTGCATCATTAGAAGAAAAGCAACGGCATTAAAAACAAAATGCTGCATCTTTTGCTGGACTGTATTCGAGCCACCTGTATTTTCCATACCAATCACTCTGAAAATTTCTTTCTTTATTCCCTATTTTAGTTCTCGGAACATGCTCAGTTTTGGCTGATAGGGGCCTCTAGCTACTCGATTCTGGCGTTCAAATCTGTTTTGGGGAATACTACAGACTGGATCATCAGCTGCTATGTTTGATTGCTTTTTTGAACATGAAGTACTCTGACTTGAAAGACCTGAACTAAAATATGTAAGGTCTTCTGTTTGGTCATGACCTGCCGCTTGGCACTCACTGGAACTACACATTGGTTCTGGTTCATCAGTTTGTATGTCTGATGGCTTTGAATATGTGCTCTGTTCTGAACTAAAAAAAAAACATCCTCAAGTTCATCAAGACTTGAAGCTTGTAATACTTTGGTACATTTTCTGAGTGTAAACTGCACTGATCGGAACCAACAGAAATATCTTCTTCTGCACTTTTATCAGCAACATACTCAGGCACAGTGTTAACCACCGAGTCTGAGGTGTTGGCTTTTTTTGGTTTCTTGATAACAAACCGATCCATATTTTGAAATTCTGTATCTCACAATTATTGTTTTCAGGATAACAGACTGTGTTTCAATATGTTCGCTAAATCTTGGTTAAGATTTAAACAGACTGACTTGAATTAACAGACAGACGTATCACTCTGGACATCCACAATGAGGCAAATATATCAAGAGTTCATAACCTATGAAGACAAACATAACCTATAAAGTACATAATGATAATCTATTTATAAAAATGTAACAGAGCATAGGCTAGAGGGATGACCTGATAGAGCAAGCAGCAACAGGCTGCCTAAGTTCTGAATGGACACGGGCCGGGGAGACAGGTAACTGTAACAGACACGTCCTCTAAGCATAAAAGCTGCCAGTGAAGATCACTTCCCCCTGGTCCGCTAAGCACTACAGTGCCATTCTTGATGTGGAGTGTGACTGGCTTTTAATGTGCAGTGAATGAGGATCACTGCACAGATAGTACTGTACTAACCTCCCACCTCCTCCCTTCCCCTCTCCAACCACTCACCCTCTCCGCCCCCTCAAACAAGTAATAGCTCCCCTTATAGAATTGCATGATTAATCTGTATGATGACCAGCCGCCCAGATATGAGTAGCTGTGTGCTACCAGTGTGCCATTACATGATCACTAAACGATTGAACAACTGCCACCCATACAGAGCATAGTATTGACAGATTAGACATTGCACATTTATTGATGGGACATGGCACATTGATTGGACATGGCACATTGATTGCATAGCAATGGTACAATGTGATGGCCCTATAATGTCAGTGCCGTACAGAGTGTCTCTATCCTTGCAGTTTACCTCCAGATAGTACAGGTCGTCGAGAGGGGTGATCTGAGACTGAAAGTCCAAAAAGTCTTCAGTTGTTGTGAAGACACCAGCAGTCTGTGATTTGGGTGACTGATGCCGCTCTGCCATTCTGTGAGGAGACTAATGCTGCTGCGCTATGACCCTAGATACACACAATCAGGGATAAGATACACTAATGAGAGTTGTACGACACAAAGGAGGGACTAAAACACAAAAAGAGTACGAAATTCAAGGGGGGGGGGTACCAACAAAATCAAGCTTTGCCTGTGTAGCCCAAAACCTTGCACCGGCCCTAGGTACCCTTACTGATAAGTTCCATCCCACTTTGTATGATTCATTCTATTTCTCTCTTGCTCCACTTCTTTGTCCTGTACTCGTCTGTTGAACAATGAAACAATGGCCAGATATAAAGTCTTCTCTTGTTACAAGCAGGTAAAACGTGCTTCATGCTTCCCTTGTTGAAATTTGTTCTGTGACGTTATTCTTTGATACTCGATTATTATTATTTTCTTATTTTTATGAGCATTCTGCCCTGCTTCACAATTAAACAATGGGTGTATAATCATCATTAAGATAAAATAATTATCATTACTATCTGCATTTTCTTAAGTTTTATTCTTATCTCTTAAACATAGCTTTTGCTATCTGTTCCTCCTTTATATTTGAAGGGTATAATACTACCTATACTGATTGTGAGGAGCATAGGCTTGCTCAGTAATGTCAGTAATGTCTAAGTAGCCATGTTTTATTGCTAAGTGGGTGGACTTTGCATTTATGGAACATGCAAGCTCACTGATTCAGTCTTTTAATTGACATGTGATGTGACTGCAGATTGTGTTTTTAAGCAAAAAAAAAGTTGGTGTGTGTGTAAAGATGTAGTGACTGCAGTATGTGTGTTTGTGTGAGGTTGTAGTGTGTGTAACTGTTGTAGTATAGTGTAGTGTGTGTAAATTTTTTAATATTTAGTCACTCACAGCCATGCTTTTACACTAGCAAGTGCTCCAATAGAGGGCAGTACACTCACTCTAGCGAGTGCTCCACTAGAGGGCAGGGCACTCACACTCTAGCGAGTGCTCCACTAGAGGGCAGTGCACTCACTCTCCAGGGAGTGCTCCAATGGGGGGCAGTGCACTCATCATTAGAAACCCTTTAAAGGACCACTATAGGGGTCCCCATCCCGCCGGGCTGGATGGAGAGGAAAGGGGTTCTTTCTCCAGGGCCGGGCGGGGAGCTCTCCGCCTCCTCTCTTTCTCTGAAACTGCTATGTTTATTAAAAAAAAAAGGGTTAATGTGGCAAACCTAGCCACTTGGACAATATACAGAGACTATGGCTTTATGGGTTGCCTGTATGGTTGTGGTGATGTGTAATGTATGCTGACTGTATAATATTGTTTTGCCTGCATTGGCTATCTGCCGAAAGCAGATAGCTGGATTTCCTTTCGTTTCACGGTCAGCGCCTTTACGGGCTGTTCGTGAACCGAATAGACCAACATGTAATAGCCCACACATTGAGAGACGTGTGGCGCTTGTTAACCGATTGCAATAATGTTGCAATCGGTAATTAGAGGCTCTCCTAGGTGGCCATCTTGGTGGCGGTCGGCCATCTTGGATCCTTTTGTTCCTCCAGCGGTGTTCGGTCGTCGAGCCCATGGTACTGAAAATGGCTAATCGACGGCGCGAACACCGCTGGACTTCCAGGCCATTCGGGAGTTCCGGGACCTTCGGTAATTTACTCCCTGTAGGTCAATCGGTAGTTTGAATAAAAGTGGTGCCGTTTTTCGTGCGGCGTTCGGTTGTTTTTAGCTGGGATCTGGGCGTAATCTCACGAATTGTGTGCCCAGAACCCAGCTATCTACCGAACGTCCATTCGTGTAAATCACCCCAATATTGGGGAAGTTATGTATTTTCATGTGAATTGTCGGTTCTGCTGCACGGAGGGATAATCCACTTAACTGTACATTCCAGTGGGAGGATCCCTCTCGTGCAGCAGTGCCCGATGGGAGAAAGGCTCTGTACATTAGGTTTCCCATGTAGTCCACTCCTGTAATACCCCTGTGATATGACTCAGGAAACCCCTTGCATGGGGAATTGTATAAATTCTGGAGCTTGTGAATAAAGCCTCAGTTGACTCTCAGAACTGTGTTTCGTCCGGTTACTGGGGATTTTGTCTTACTTTTCAGCGCTGACTGTGGATTACTGAATGTACCAGCGGAATTCGTGTGTTTTTAATACTGCCGATCCGCTACAGTTAACCCTAGCTGGACCAGGCACCCAGACCACCTCATTAAGCTGGAGTGGTCTGGGTGCCTAGAGTGGTCCTTTAAGTCACTGCAATGATAGAGGAATATAAAATGAGCCCTAGATTATGTTTCACTGCATAGTGAACACTGAACACCAATGATAAAGCAAAGAATGCAAATAAGGCTCTCTCTGGGCAAAGAAGGCTACTCTGTGTAAGTTATGTGTATATCTTCCAAGTTAAAAACATTCAGAAAAATCTGTATTTGAATCAAAAGTAATTATCAATCAGTAGTAGGCAGTAGACATTTGACCCTTTAAATTAGATGATACAGGCAAAGCTGAGCCACCCTGACACTGAAAGTAATTTAATAATACCACTATGCCAGGAGTGAAATGAAATGCTGCAGCCTCATGAAGGGAGAAGAAATCATATTTAAACTTACTTACTCTGCCTGCCGCCCGGAATCCCTTCTGGGGAAAAACGCTGTGCTCCACTCTGCAGCCTCTGCTCTGGCACTGTGCTGTCATACGGCTGGGCCTCACCCTTGCGTTGCCGTGACTCCGCCTCTGCGTGACGTCACGGACCGCGTGTACGCAAACGCGTACGTTACAGGGGAGGCCTTTTTTGTTTCAACGAACTCGAAATTCTTTTCCCTGATTCAATAATGAAATTTAGCAGGTAGCAAAGTATTTGAAAAGCAAGAAACAGTTCCTAGTGATTAAGCTTGATGGGAGTTGTCCTCCATATAATTATTAGCTTGAAGTAGTGAAGTTTTAGAGGAGTTTGTATTTCATTGTATGGAGACCCCATGCTGGGGTCTGTGTATAAATTGTAGAGATGTGCAATTCGTTTCAGTCCGAATGTGGACGAATTTCGGGCAATTCGGACATTCGAGTACTTCCGAGTGTCCGAATAGATGAATTGCCGAATTGGCGAGTGGTTGAAGTCCCGAAATTTCTGAATTTCCGAAGTTGCCGAAGCACAGTATTTCCTAAGAACTAGTATACTTAACCAGTAGAAGAATTAAGAATGTTGCACTGTATACAATTTTTTTAAATTTTTTTTATTCTTTATTTTTGGTGCAGGTTAGCATGTAACGTACATACATTTTGCATTCAAGTCTGATACATACATTTTGCAATCTATTCTGGAAATATCGTATGTGAAGTCACGTTTTTGTGGGTTCTGGCTGGGTATCATGTTGCACATTTTTAATAGTGTGGTAATCTGTTGGGTTGTAGCGAGTTGGTCAGTATATGGGTTGATGAACTCCCGCTATGTGTGATGTCTCGTAAGTTATATGCTAGTGAGGTTTGCGAGTTCTGAGTCTCTTGGGTGCATGTTGGGAAGAGGCGTATTGGTTCCTACGTGGTGTCGGCCCTATGTGGTAGTTGCTCTTGGTACTAGTTCTATTGTGTGGCCCTCATCTATGTGTGGTCTCTTGTCCCCTTGTCGTTTTCCCCTGGCATGTCAGGTGTGGTGGGGAGGCGGGGAGAGAGTCCCTGCGCGTGATGCGGGCGCTGTGGGTGCCCTTTGAGTCTCCCTGCGTAGCTAGGTAATTGTGTGTTGATTCATTAGGTTGCTAGGAATAATCTTCAATAATGAAATTTAGTAGGTAGCAAAGTATTTGCAAAGCAAGAAACAGTTCCTAGTGATTAAGCTTGATGGGAGTTGTCCTCCATATAATTATTAGCTTGAAGAAGGGGCCGGGTGGATGATCCATATAGTGTTAATCATTGCATAACTTTGCAGCTAGGAAAGTCTCATAAATGCCCCTATAGCATGAGGTGCTCGGGTGTGCTGATTAGTTCAGGTCTTTGGTCTCCTGTCTCTTCTAATGTCTGATGAGGACGTATCTGAGTCAGTGTCCAGTAGGGGTTGCGTGTCCGGTGGTGCGTGTGAGGAGCCCCGTTGTGATTGTAAGTCCAGTGCTGCCAGGAGTGCGCGGGTGTCTGCTGGGTCCGTAGCTTTGTAGAACTTTCCTTCTTTGGTAACCCATAGAGTTTGCGGTGTCGCCCATCTGTAGGTCAGGCCTGCTTTCTGCAAGATCTGCGTGAGGGGCTGCATGGCTTTCCGCCACTGTAGCATGGCTCTGCTGAGGTCTTGGTAGAATGAGATTTTGTAGTTCTCAAATGGACATTGTTTGACACCTGAGAATGTCTCGTGGTGCGGTTGCGGGGGTTCTTGGGGATTTAGCTATTCGTTATGCCCCATCAAAGGAGAAGTATTTAGCCTCTCTTGCTGATAGTAGTGATGCCACTAACCTTCTTATGAAGTGTGATAGTTCTTCTAGGGGTATAGACTCTGCTACTCCTCTTACCTTTATGTTCTTTCTCCTGCCCCTGTCGTCCAGGATGGTCATCTGTTTGTTTGTTTTAGCTTGTGTAGTCTGGATATGTTGTACTTTATCGCTCAGTTCCTTGAGGCCTTGTTGCAGGTCTGTCACATTCCTTTCAGTAGTCTGTCTGCCTCCCACATTGCCCTGAGGTTATTTTGGAGACCGGTGAGCATTTCTCGAAGTTCCCGTTTTGTAGCTGGTGCTTCTGTCTCCTTTGGGCTTGGTGACTCTCTGTTTATCGGCATCGGGCTCTGGTATGCGGTCTCGCCGCTAACTCTTGTGAGTGAAGGCTCCCGGGTGAGTGAGGCCTCCTGCGCCGCTGGTGTTATCACTGGCGCCGTGTGTTGCAGCATCTGACTTATGTCGTGCTGTGTCTTGGAAGTGGGAGCGGGTGTTTTTTGGGTTTTCTTCCCCATGTTACCTGTTGGCAGAGTTAGGAGATCGGAGTCGTCCCAGTCTAATGGGCCTCCGTAGGCCGCTGGAGAGTGCTTGATTGCGCGGTAGGCCTTGGAGCCGCAGGTCTGGTATTTTTTGCCCGGGGTATGTAGAAAAGGCATCGGCGGGTTCAGGGCGGTTTGCTGCGTCGAACTCTGCCCTCTTTGCAGTCGTTTTCACTTGGATGCGGGCGATATTTAATAGATTAAGATTTTCAGCGCTCGGAGCTGTGAAAATGGCGTCTATTCTTTTGCGCTGCCAGGCTCCGTCCCCCATACTGTATACCATTTTAAATAAAAAGTATACAAACATAGCCAGGATTCAGCTGTAAGCACTTGCAACACTTACAACATGCATTCATATAAAATGTAAGTTACTTAGCCAGTCAATGTAATGACAGGAATGAATAAGTAGATAACTCCCTAATTCCCACGGTATTAGGGAGCTATCTACTAAAAGGCTGAAAGACCTAAATTGGTCTGTGACGGTAGTATAGGGTATCACCGTCAAGCATTCCCTTCTTCCCATAAAAGAAATCACCCAATATTTCCACAAGTAGAAATATCCCTGGAATAGCCGAATAATTCACACATGAGCCAAAGCTTGAACAAGACTGATATACTGTATTTACAGAAGAAAATGAAGGAAAGGGACCTCAGTTGAGAAAAAGGATAAATGAGTCATTTATTACACGTGAGTTTACAGAGGAAGAGGTTCTATTTCAACTGTCAAAAGTAAAGACAAATAAGTCAATGGGACCTGATGGAATACACCCAAAGCTATTAAAAGAGCTTAGTGGTGTACTAGCAAAACCATTAACAGATTTATTTAACCAATCATTGTTAACAGGAGTAGTCCCAGAAGATTGGAAGTTAGCGAATGTTGTGCCCATTTACAAGAAAGGTAATAGGGAGGAGTCGGGCAACTATAGGCCAGTAAGCCTTACTTCAGTAGTGGGGAAAGTGATGGAAACCATGTTAAAGGATAGGATTGATGAACATCTAAAACACATGGATTTCAAGATCAGAGACAACATGGGTTTACTTCAGGGAGATCATGCCAAACTAATCTTATTGATTTTTTTGATTGGGTAACTAAAACTATAGATCAGGGTGGTGCAGTAGACATTGCTTACCTAGATTTCAGTAAGGCTTTTGACACTGTTGCACATAGAAGGCTTATCAATAAACTGCAATCTTTAAGTTTGGATTCCAATATTGTTGAATGGGTAAGGCAGTGGCTGAGTGACAGGCAACAGAGGGTTGTAGTTAATGGAATATATTCGAAGCTTGGACTTGTCACCAGTGGGGTACCTCAGGGATCTGTACTTGGACCCATTCTCTTTAATATTTTTATTAGTGATATTGCAGAAGGTCTTGATGGTAAGGTATGTCTTTTTGCTGATGATACTAAGATATGTAACAGGGTTGATGTTCCAGGAGGGATAAGCCAAATGACAAATGATTTAGGTAAACTAGAAAAATGGTCAGAATTGTGGCAACTGACATTTAATGTGGATAAGTGCAAGATAATGCATCTTGGACGTAAAAACCCAAGGGCAGAGTACAGAATATTTGATAGAGTCCTAACCTCAACATATGAGGAAAGGGATTTAGGGGTGATTATTTCTGATGACTTAAAGGTAGGCAGACAATGTAATAGAGCAGCAGGAAATGCTAGCAGAATGCTTGGTTGTATAGGGAGAGGTATTAGCAGTAGAAAGAGGGAAGTGCTCATGCCATTGTACAGAACACTGGTGAGACCTCACTTGGAGTATTGTACACAGTACTGGAGACCGTATCTTCAGAAGGATATTGATACCTTAGAGAGGGTTCAGAGAAGGGCTACTAAACTGGTTCATGGATTGAAGGATAAAACTTACCAGGAAAGGTTAAAGGATCTTAACATGTATAGCTTGGAGGAAAGACGAGACAGGGGGGATATGATAGAAACATTTAAATATATAAAGGGAATCAACACAGTAAAGGAGGAGACTATATTTAAAAGAAGAAAAACTACCACAACAAGAGGACATAGTCTTAAATTAGAGGGACAAAGGTTTAAAAATAATATCAGGAAGTATTACTTTACTGAGAGGGTAGTGGATGCATGGAATAGCCTTCCAGCTGAAGTGGTAGAGGTTAACACAGTAAAGGAGTTTAAGCATGCATGGGATAGGCATAAGGCTATCCTAACTATAAGATAAGGCTAGGGACTAATGAGTTTTTAGAAAATTGGGCAGACTAGATGGGCCGAATGGTTCTTATCTGCCGTCACATTCTATGTTTCTATGTTTCTATGTTTCTATACTGGCACACATCACTCACAATTTATGCAACACAAAACTCCCACTCTTGGCCAGGCTAGATAATTGCGTTTTAGCAATATACACAGCTCAATTATCTGCTGGCCAGAAATATTACAGTTTTTAACAATTTCAGAAAAGTACTTTCTATGCAACATACAAACATAATTTCAACATCCCTGGGTAGCTGAGGATACTGGTAGTCATATATCCAAATCTCACAAATTTCCATTCGGTAGTTTCCGTGTCGTGTGTAAGTTTGACCGGCTCGCCATGTGGAGGTATCCGATCTAGAGTTCCATAGAATCAGTAGCAAGAGCCGGTCTCCGTTCGCATCTAACTACACGAAAACCACCGTTCGTATGGTGCAGCTGGTTATATGTGAATGTTCCCCTCATTCGGTAGATTCTATCTACCAAACGCCAGTTTGATTCGTGGAGGGGAACATATTCATCCAGGACTTCCATGGGGACCGGGCGTTCGCATGTTTGCTGTGCCAAAATTAGTTCCAGGCAATTCATGCGTAAGCCCCGCTGACCGCATTCGTGAGTTTTAAGATGGCCGCCATCCTTTGTTCTCGCCACGTGTTCGTATGTCGAATGGCGGCCACCTAGTAGCAATTAAGTCGCGGTTTTCTCTGCGTTCTAATGCTGATTGCTACCCAGGGTGTGTGGTCTCCGTTCGGTACATTCGTTCAATACATAGTGAAACAAACTGATACAGGCATTTAAACAGCAGGGAGAAGGTTTAACTGAAGACACACAGGTAAATACATGAAAATCCTTCACAATGGCCTCCCTTTTTCTCCTTGCTCCGGCAACTCGGTTGGACCTTTCCTGGTCCAGTAGGGTTGACGGGACTTTCCAAAGTTTTTTTTAATCTGAGGCCAAGTCAGTTTGGCGTGACAGTCCATCAGCATTCCTGTTTTGCTTGCCTGGGCGATAATTGATAGTGAAGTAATAGGGTTGTAAAGCCAGGCTCCAGCGCAGCAAAAGGGCGTTATCCCCTGAGACCCGGTTGAGCCAAACCAGGGGATTGTGATTGGTGATTAGGGTGAAGGCCCGGCCATAGAGGTAAGGTGTGAGCTTTTTGAGTGCCCTCAAATAGTGGCATAACTGACCTCCCTTGGCAACAGCTTCCGACTCAGGTTTGCCACCGGGTGCTCTCCTCCATCTTCTCCGATCTGGCTTAGTACTGCCCCCAGTCCAAACATTGAAGCGTCTGTTAGGATCTAGGGTAACCAACACCGGAGCAGTAACAAGAGCATTCTTTAGTGCTTGGAAAGCCACCTTTCATTCCGGGGACCACAGGACTTGTCGGGGTAACTTCTTTTTGGTCAGGTCGGTCAGGGGTTTGGCCAGGGCACTGTAGTCTGGTACGAAGCGTCTGTGATAGCCGGCTGTGCCCAAGAAAGCCATGACTTGTGTCTTGGTGTGGGGAGTGGGCCAATTGGCAATGGCCTCAATCTTAGCCGGCTCCGGCCGTTGCTTACCACATCCTACTCAGTGGCCCAAATATTGTACCTCCGCCATACCCTAATGACATTTGTCTGGTTTCAGGGTCAGCCCGGCCCCCCTGATCCTATCTAATACTACCCCTACGTGCTCTAGGTGCGCTTCCCAGGTATCGCTATGGATGGCGATGTCATCCAGGTAAGCGCACGCGTAGTCCTGGAGACCTCCCAGTAAATGATCCACCATCCGTTGGAAGGTGGCCGGGGCGTTCTTCTTCCCGAATGGCATAACCCCAAATTGGTATAGGCCGAACGGGGTGATGAAGGCAGACTTGGGTATGGCATCTTCTGCTAGGGGAATCTGCCAATATCCCTTACATAGGTCAATTGTGGTCAGATACTTCCCTGCAGAGATACAGTCAAGCAGTTCGTCCATCCGTGGCATTTGGATAGGCGTCAGTAACTGTCTTGTTGTTGAGTCGCCGTTAATCCACACAGAAGCGGGTTGTCCCGTCCTTCTTTGGTACTAGGACTACCGGCGAGGCCCAAGGACTTTCTGAGTGTTCTATTACCCCTAGCCGAAGCATCTCGTCGATTTCCTTCCGCATCCCTTCTCGGACTGCTTCCGGAATACAGTAAGGGGGCTGCCTCAGGGGTGCTTGCCCTGGAGTCTCCACCTTGTGGACGGCTAGGAGTGTGTACCCAGGCTCCTGAGAGAATGTGGCCTGTTTGGTTTCTAGCAAGCGGACAGCTTGAGCCCTCTCTTGTGGTTCCAGCTGTTCGCCTAGCTGGACTTTCTCTATCTGGGTCATCCCTTCGTTACTGCCCAATAGGTCAGGAAGAGGTAGTGTCTCTGTATCTTCCCCTGCTGGCGCACAGATAGCGGTCACCTCCTCTGCCTGTTCCTGATAGGCCTTAAGCATGTTGATGTGAAAGGTTTGTTTCACATCCTCATCCTCGCAGCTAGCTATGGTGTAGGTAGTGTCGCATATCTGCCCTATAACTTTATAGGGGCCCTGCCAGGCGGCCTGGAGCTTGTCTGTTTGGACCGGTCTTAGCACCATGACTTTTTGGCCAATCTGAAAGCTCCGGTGCCTAGCCCGTCGGTCATACCATACCTTCTGGCGCTGCTGGGCCGCCTGGAGGTTTTCCTGCACCGCCTGGGCTAATTCCTCCATGCGGTCCCGCAGTTCCAGCACATAAGGTACAACCGGGGTCCCCTCAATCTCTGTCTGCCCCTCCCAATGATCCTTGATAAGATCTAAGGGCCCCCTCACCCGCCTCCCATAGAGAAGTTCAAAGGGTGAAAATCCGGTTGATTCCTGCGGCACCTCTCGGTAGGCAAAGAGAAGGTGTGGCAGGAATCGCTCCCAATCCTTGTACGCCCCTGTGAACGACTTCAACATTTGCTTTAGCGTCCCGTTGAAGCGTTCGCACAGGCCATTAGTCTGGGGGTGGTATGGGTAACTAGTCAGGGATTTAACTCCACAGACTTTCCATATCTGCTGGGTTACCTCGGTGAACTGCGTACCTTGGTCGGACAGAACCTCTTTGGGAAAGCCCACTCGGGAGAATATTCTGACTAGCACATCTGACACCGACTCAGCCTGTATGTTAGAAAGGGCCACAGCTTCGGGGTAACGGGTGGCGTAATCTACCACCGTGAGGATATAACGTTTGCCGGAACAGCTAGGTTGGGACAGGGGTCCTATGATGTCCACGGCTACCCTCGTGAACGGTTCTTCAATTATGGGCATGGAGACCAGTTTAGCCTTTGGGTGGTCTCCCTTTTTACCTATGCGTTGACATATCTCGCACGTCTGGCAATACGCTCGGACGTTGTCGAATACCCCAGGCCAGAAAAAGTTCTGGGTTACCCGATATCCCGTCCTGCGTATTCCCATGTGTCCTGCCAGAGGAACGTCGTGCCCAATTCTTAATAACTCCCGCCGGTATTTCCGTGGAACTACCAGCTGGCGTTTTTGCCTAGGCCCAGGTGCGTTAACCCGTGTCTTGGTGAGCCTGTACAAACGGCCTTTTTCCCAGATAAACTGCTCCTTCTCTAACCCCCCCTTTCCCCTCCTGGCTTTCTCTCGATACTTTCTGAGGGAAGGGTCTCCAGTCACCTCCCGCCCAAAGTCTTCTGGGGTGTCCCAGGATAGGGGTTCTATAGTCAGGGGTAGGTCGGGTTGGCTTACCTGGGTCTCAGTAGGAAGCAGATGGCTCTCGGCAGCGCGACTTTGTGCTCTGGTGGTTACTGCGTGGGCCTCCTGAGCGGTGGTTGAGGCGAACGCCGAAGTCAGGGGGCCAATGTCATTGCCCAATACGACTTCAGAGGGTAAGTCTTTCATTACGCCCACGTGAACATTGCCAGCTCCCGCACCCCAGTCCAGGTGTACTTGTGCGGTAGGAATGCGATACACTGCCCCCCCTGCCACTCTCACAGCAATTGATTTCCCCGGCTTCTCCGATGCGTTAATGAGATGTCGTTGAACTAGCGTGATGGTCGCACCACTGTCTCTCAATCCCCGTGCTGTCTTGCCGTTAACCATGACCAGTTGACAATGGTGTTTCCGATTGTCTGTGGTGATGGATTGTACCATGAGGGCTTCATAAAGGGTGCCCAATGGTTCTTCCTGACTCAGCTCCTTGGGATCCCAAGTCGAGTCTACACAATGGGCTGCTGCTGGTGGTTGGTAGTACCCAGGTTGAGACCAATTTGACCTGGTGCTGTTGTCCATGGGGCAATTCTGTCAGATGTGACCCAGCTGTTTGCACCGGAAGCAACGTAGCTCGCTGTCATCCTGTCGTGGATAGCGAGAGTTAGAAGTCACCGGTCGGTTATGAGGTTGGTATCTGGCTGCTGGTGGGTGTGATGGCACCCTTGGTCATGGAGGCTGCACCCGCGGTGCGACCTGATTAGTCTTGCGAGTAATTGCATACTCATCCGCCAACTTGGCGGCCTCTGGTAGAGACAGGGGCCTGCGATCTCTCACCCAATCTTTGACATCCGCCTGGATATGGTTGTAAAACTGTTCCAGGAGTATCAGTTGCAAAATATCCTCCGTGGTGGTGGCCTGGCTACTGTTAACCCAGTTAGAGGCTGACAGGGATAACTGGCATGCCCATTCCACGTAAGAGTCTTTAACGGTTTTGCATGAGTCCCTGAACTTCCCTGAACTTCTGACCGCATTCATGAGTTTTAAGATGGCCGCCATCCTTTGTTTTCGCCACATGTTCGTATGTAGAATGGCGGCCACCTAGTAGCAATTAAGTTGCAGTTTTCTCTGCATTCTAATGCTGATTGCTACCCATGGTGTGTGGTCTCCGTTCGGTAAACGAATACATTCATTCAATACATAGTGAAACGAACTGATACAGACATTTAAACAGCAGGGAGAAGGTTTAACTGAAGGCACACAGGTAAATACATGAAAATCCTTCACAATGTCTTTCAGCCAAATTTACTAATACTAAGTAAAGATTACTTAGTATTAGTAAATTATGCCCCTACTCGCTATACTGCCTATGGCTGCTCACTTTAAAAAAAAAAAAAAAGTCCCCCCCTCCCGAGCCCCCACCCGTACTGCGCGAGTGGGGGCTTCTAACCTGAAGGGGGGACCTATTGCCCCCCGGCCCCCGCCCTGCAATTAGGCTCAGAGCACTCTGATTGGTGGGTTTAAGCCATCCAATCAGAGTGCTCTGACAGGTAAATGAAGAGACTGACAGGTAAGTCTCTACATTTAACTGTCACAGCACTCTGGTTGGTTTGAAATCCACCAATCAGAGTGCTTTGTGTCATTTTAGTGAAAGTTCTTTTTATTTAGGGCCCCCACCCGCCGCTCAGGGGTGGGGGGCCAGGGGGAAGGACATTAGGTCCCCCCATTGGTATTTAGGGCCCCCACCTGCCGCTCAGGGGTGGGGGCCAGGGGGGGAGGACATTAGGGCCCCCCTTATTAGTATTTAGGGCCCCCACCCGCCGCTCAGGGGTGGGGGCCAGGGAGGAGGACATTAGGTTCCCCCCCCTACCCCAATTTAGGGTCTCCACCTACAGTTCATGGGTGGGGGCATAGGCGTGCGCACGGGGTGTGCCGGGTGTGCCTGGGCACACCCTAATCCCTGCGGCACGCCTATGGATTGAGACCAGCAGGGGAGATCTCAGGATCCCCCCTGTCGGCTCATGCAGAGCCGGCGCTATCCGAGCGCCGGCTCTGCTCTAAGCCTACCCTCACCGACCCGCAGGGAGGGAGGCAGGAAAGGACCCTGGGAGCTCTTGCCAGCACTCAGATCGGGGCTATCCCCCTCTTATAATATTGTGAAGCTCTGTGGAATGAGATGGCACTATATAAATGTCGAAATTAATATCTAGGTTGATACCTCTATATGTGGATGCCAAACAGCACACACAAACATAAAGCACACACACATACAACACCCACACACACAGCATCCTCACACGTACAGCACCCACACAAATATAGCACACAAACAGCACACACACAGCACACTAACAGTACCCTCACAAACACAAACAGCACACTAACAGGACCCTAACAAACACACACACAGCACACTACCAGTACACTCCAACACAAACAGCACCCTCACAAGCGCACACACACACAAACAGCACCCTCACACACAGTACATTAACAGCACCCTCACAAGCCCACACACACAAACACCCTCACCCACATAGCATACTACCAGCACCCTCACACACACATCACACTAACAGCACCCTCACACAGCACCCTCACACAGCAGTGTGTGTGTGTGTGTGTGTGTGTGTGTGTATATATATATATATATATATATATGTATGTATATACATATATACATATATATATACACACACACATGTATATACATACATATATATATGCAGCTTGTGCTTTAGGGTGCACACCCTAATGCAATAGGCTGTGCACGCCTATGGGTGGGGGCAAGGGGGGAGGACATTAGATCCCCCCCCCCCTTATTCCAGTTTAGGGCCCCCACCTGCCGCTCAGGGGTGGGGGCCAGGGGGAGGACATTAGATCCCCCCCCCACTTATTAGTATTTAGGGCCCCCACCCGCCGCTCAGGGGTTGGGGCCTGGGGAAGGACAAGTTGCCCCCCTTATTTTACTGTAGGGCCCCCACCCACCGCTCAGGGGGGAGGACATTAGGCCCCCCCTTATTAGTATTTAGTGCCCCCACCCACCGCTCACAGGTGGGGGCTGGGGGGAGGACATTAGGCCCTCCCTTATTAGTATTTAGGGCCCCCACCCGCCGCTCAGGGGTGGGGGCCGGGGGGGCAATAGGTCCCCCCTTTAGTTCGAAAGCGCGGGTGGGGACATGCCCCTACTCGCGGTATAGCGAGTAGGGGCAAAATTTACTAATACTAAGTAATTTTTACTTAGTATTAGTAAATGGCTGAAAGACCAATTTAGGTCTTTCAGCTTTTTGGTAGATAACTCCCTAATACTGTGGGAATTATGGAGTTATCTACTAAGCGGTTTCAAGAGAAGTTCCGAATTTCCGAAGTCTCGAAGTGCCGAAGTGTTGAAGTGCCGAATTGCCGAAGTCCCGAATTTCGGAATGCCAAACCATGCACATGCCTAATAAATTGAGTGTATCTTGCCCTGAATAAACCAGTCTACTTCCAGCATTAAGTCTCGGCTAATATCTGGGAGAAAGAGTTATGTCACTTTATCCTGCTCTAATCACTGAAGACTGCGCTGACTGAGACTCTGGGTAGGGGAAAGGACATCCTTGGATACAGACATACAGATACACACACGTGCGTGCGCACACACACTGACATACAGATATGCACACATTGACACACACAGATGCAAAGACCTACATATATACACACTGACACACACAGATACAAACACTACATACATACTGACACCCAAAACACACACCTTTTGCTGGCTGGGCCTGTTGGGAGGGCTATCTCCTCTACTGGTCTGCCCCGCCCTCCTTCACGGCCCCTTCCTGCACGGCTTGATGTTACAGCTGGGAGGAAATTCTAGTTTCACTTTCACTTCCTCCCAGCACTCCGTGCAAGTTAGAAGGGGCCTGGTCTCGCTATTAAAGTGCGGCAGTGCACGACTGGGCCCTTAATGGCACATGTTCATCGGGTGGCCCTGAGTGCATAGACCATCCAATGGACCCACTCAGCTTGCGGTCCCCAACCCGTGCAGTGCGGTTGCACCTCCGCCATTACGGTTTTATTTCTGCGTACCCCCTGGGGCATTGAATTGTACCATGGGTTGGGAACCCCTGCTCTAGAGTCCCAGGGGTAGGCAACCTTCGGCACTCCAGATGTTGTGGACTACATCCCCCATAATGCTCTAAAACCCATAATGCTGGCAAAGCATCATGGGAGGTGTAGTCCAAAACATCTGGAGTGCCGAAGGTTGCCTATGCCTGGTCTAGACTGTAAGCTCCTTTGAGTAAGGTCCTCCTCTACCTATTGTTCCTATAAAATTTTGTAATTGTTTCATTTAATGTTAAATTTCCCCCTCTTATAATATTGTGAAGCTCTGTGGAATGAGATGGCACTATATAAATGTCGAAATTAATATCTAGGTTGATACCTCTATATGTGGATGCCTATTTATTCTATAGATGTGGCAGCTGTTCCATGTGGACGTGACCTTTTGGTGAATTTGTGCCAAGACCTTCTGGAGACCTGGATCTGCCTTCTTGGGTCCATCAGACCAGGGACCTGCAGCCGTCTAAGAGTGTGAGGATAAATATCTCTATATAATGTGACTGTCTGTGCCCCCCCCCCGTCAGATCAGAGTGTGGATAAATATTTCTATATAATGTGGATGTCCGCGCCTCACCCCCCCAGTCAGAGTGAGCATGAATATCTCTATATAATTTGACTGTGTGCGCTCCGCCCCATTCCCTGGTGTCCCTTGGTATAATGTTGATGTCTCTCTCTTTCTGTCTGTCTTTCTCAGTGTAATGTTGATGTGTCTCTCTCAGTATAATGTCTCTCTCGGTATAATGTTGTCTTGCTCTCTCTCTCTCAGTGTTATGCTGATGTGTCTATATAATGTCTCGATTAATCGTAAAGGCCTGTCCTGGCTGAGTCAGAGCTTGCCGTTCATATCACAGCTCCAGATACTATTAACGGGTGAGTCTAATAATTATATCATTATTGTACATAGCGTGTAAAGGTCCCTTTTCATGTCTACGTGTGCGGCCACGCGCTTTGCATCCAGAGCCCAAGCCGACAACGACAAGCAACCTTTGAATGTTGCCATTTATTCTTTCCAGCTAGCACCGGGACCATGTCAGTGATTTGAAGTGGTTATGGAGTTTGCAGTTTTGATTAATCCCTCTCATTGGCCAGCCTGGAAAAATGCTTCCTGGCAAATATTGACAGACGCTCATTCAGTGGCTGGGAGTAGTCAGCGGACACACTCAGCCAATCAATGAGTGGCAGGATTGACATCTTACTTTTGCTGCTCTGCAGAGGAAAGATGTCATAAAGCTGCCTTCAGAGCAGGAGCCTGCGGAGACCCAGGTTAGAGGACAACGTGCTTACCAGGAAACAGTGCAAGGGTACTCCCACCATCTGTAGTGGTTGTGGTGGGTGGAGTAAGGCTTTATCTATTAACCAGTGTCTCCCCTTTACACCTATTACACCTAGCACTTTTCTCCTCTTCCCACAATGCTCCCTTTCCCTGTCCCTATTTCTCAGATATACTAATGACTTTAAATGCATGTTCTCTCCCCAGATCCTGATCTTGAAGTGTGTCTGCACACGATGCGCCTCTTCCAGTCTGTGGTGCTTGAGTCAGATAGCCTAAGACACTTCCAGAATGAGCTTCACAAATTCATGCCACGGATCATGGAGCTATCACATAGCCGCAGCACCGAGCTCCAGGCATTGGCCTGTGAACTGCTGGAGGAAATGAAGAGGCTAGAGAAAGAGGGGTAATGTGGGGATACCCAAATTCCTGTGTGATGTCACCACTTGCATGTGTCACTCCCTCCTTGTGATGTCACTCCCTGCATGTGAGGTCACTCCTGCTTAGTTACAAGTCCTGTTCAGCATTCCAGTTAATGATGTGTTTATCACATTCACTATTTAAATGCATTACGTTTACTGACACCAATATAGCTCTGTTTTGTTTGCAAAATGTTTCGTTTTTTTCTTTTTTTCTACATAATCAATAAACTTCCATTTTACTGTGTTCATGTTTTCATTATGATTGATAATGTCACTTGGGGATGACTTCGCCCTCTTGACATGTTTCTAACGCAAAGTAGGACACAGTGGGGATATTAATCTGACGTAACACTATTATCCTTATTTAAAATCCTTACACCAAGGATCTAGATCAGTATTCAGCCTAGTTGTTATATCAATGAATATCTAGATCAGTATTCAGCCTAGTCGTTATATCAATGAATATCTAGATCAGTATTCAGCCTAGTCATTATATCAATGAATATCTAGATCAGTATTCAGCCTAGTCGTTATGTCAATGAATATCTAGATCAGTATTCAGCCTAGTCATTATATCAATGAATATCTAGATCAGTATTCAGCCTAGTCGTTATATCAATGAATATCTAGATCAGTATTCAGCCTAGTCGTTATATCACTGAATATCTAGATCAGTATTCAGCCTAGTCGTTATATCACTGAATATCTAGATCAGTATTCAGCCTAGTCGTTATATCAATGAATATCTAGATCAGTATTCAGCCTAGTCTTTATATCAATGAATATCTAGATCAGTATTCAGCCTAGTCGTTATATCAATGAATATCTAGATCAGTATTCAGCCTAGTCGTTATATCAATGAATATCTAGATCAGTATTCAGCCTAGTCATTATATCACTGAATATCTAGATCAGTTTTCAGCCTAGTCGTTATATCACTGAATATCTAGATCAGTATTCAGCCTAGTCGTTATATCACTGAATATCTAGATCAGTATTCAGCCTAGTCGTTATATCAATGAATATCTAGATCAGTATTCAGCCTAGTCTTTATATCAATGAATATCTAGATCAGTATTCAGCCTTGTCGTTATGTCAATGAATATCTAGATCAGTATTCAGCCTTGTCGTTATGTCAATGAATATCTAGATCAGTATTCAGCCTAGTCGTTATATCACTGAATATCTAGATCAGTATTCAGCCTAGTTGTTATATCAATGAATATCTAGATCAGTATTCAGCCTTGTTATATCAATGAATATCTAGATCAGTATTCAGCCTAGTCGTTATATCAATGAATATCTAGATCAGTATTCAGCCTAGTTGTTATATCAATTAATATCTAGATCAGTATTCAGCCTAATCGTTATATCACTGAATATCTAGATCAGTATTCAGCCTAGTCATTATATCACTGAATATCTAGATCAGTTTTCAGCCTAGTCGTTATATCACTGAATATCTAGATCAGTATTCAGCCTAGTCGTTATATCACTGAATATCTAGATCAGTATTCAGCCTAGTCGTTATATCAATGAATATCTAGATCAGTATTCAGCCTAGTCTTTATATCAATGAATATCTAGATCAGTATTCAGCCTTGTCGTTATGTCAATGAATATCTAGATCAGTATTCAGCCTAGTCGTTATATCAATGAATATCTAGATCAGTATTCAGCCTAGTCGTTATATCACTGAATATCTAGATCAGTATTCAGCCTAGTTGTTATATCAATGAATATCTAGATCAGTATTCAGCCTTGTTATATCAATGAATATCTAGATCAGTATTCAGCCTAGTCGTTATATCAATGAATATCTAGATCAGTATTCAGCCTAGTTGTTATATCAATTAATATCTAGATCAGTATTCAGCCTAATCGTTATATCAATGAATATCTAGATCAGTATTCAGCCTAGTCATTATATCACTGAATATCTAGATCAGTATTCAGCCTAGTCGTTATATCACTGAATATCTAGATCAGTATTCAGCCTAGTCGTTATATAAATGAATATCTAGATCAGTATTCAGCCTAGTCTTTATATCAATGAATATCTAGATCAGTATTCAGCCTTATCGTTATGTCAATGAATATCTAGATCAGTATTCAGCCTTGTCGTTATGTCAATGAATATCTAGATCAGTAGTCAGCCTTGTCATTATACAAAGAAGTATGCAATCCTCCTTGCCCCTCTCCCCTGGTATTGTGTAGCTGACAGTTACTATTGGCTAAAGTGGATTGTAACAGGGAGTGATACAGTTGCACAATTGGCTTGCCTACTAAATACTGCAAGTATGTAAGATCAATTAAACGTGGATCTAATTATATGAAGTGTATAAGTAGTCAATAAAGCTGACAAGTGCTTTCGAGGGCACCCCTCTTATGCCCCACACCTCCAAAGGAGAGACCAATCAAAACATGGAGGGGGTCTAATAGATAATAAAACCGTCTCCTGGAAGAATGCACTTTGTGGGGAAACATGCGTCAGAATGTAGATGTACAGTGTGCAAATCCTCTTCATAACAGCTGTGTCACGGCATGGTGCCTAATTTATTGTTGCACTCTATATAATATTGTCCTTTAATGTAATTTGTGTAGTGCATAGATGAACTGGCTGCCTGGCAGAGGTGGTATTGTGAATGTCAAAAGGGGGTTAATTTGATTGTATGGGAGGTCAGAAGGTTTATGGCTTTAATTCCTCTTTGAAGCTGTGACCCCAGCAGAGCTACTCTGTAAGGTGTGAGAAGTTACACATAAGTGGCCTGGAAGTGTAATTTAAATATAAACTAACACTCTCTAATTTGCCATATGTCTAGATTCCCTCTTAGATAGGGGGTCCTTTGATATGTTAATGGACATTAGCCTTGTGTTCCGGTATCATATCCAAAAGAAACATTAATACTTACCCACAAACTAATAATTAAACCTAATTTTTATATTTAGAATGGGACAAGCAAGCACAATCTTCTAATCAAGCCTAAACATGATTTGTGTAACTTTACCATATGGGAAGGGATTGTTTGCTACATTGGGTCACAAGTAAGGAGTATGACATATATATGGAATGAAAAAATGGTAACAAATTCATAGATGCAATTATTTTTTCTGTGGCAAGTACATAAGAGAAGATAGAACCAAATGTTTCCATTTGGATTGATGTTGGTCTGGAACACAAGGGGGTGGTCACTTATAGTTACTATAGGTCCGCCTTATCTCCCCCTCGGGGCCAGGCTAGGTAATCCACAGGGTACATCTCTTAACGATATTGAAGTGTGGATTGTACTTGCTTGGGACCAAAATCTAATTTCGAATGAGTCACCATCTTCCTTGCCAGAGACCCCATGGGCACAAGTTTTACTTTGGAAACCTGAGTAAGTGATTAGGTCTTCTGTTATTTTATCCTTTTTGGTTTTTATCTATTGTTGGTGTAAATAATTTATCATCTATTTTTTGTATACACTGACTATTTTTACTCATAATAAATATTCCTTTATTAAGTTCTGCCTTTGTCTGGTAACAAATCACGATACCTGAAGTGACTAATTAGTGGTTTGCAATTGCTTAGATATTATGTTGTATTTGGTGGATTTTTATTATTAAGTTTCCCACAATGCTCTGTTCCCTCTGGTAGGTGGCTCTGTGTTACCCACAATGCTCTGTTTGCGCCGGTAGGTGGCTCTGTGTTACCCACAATGCTCTGTTTCCGCCGGTAAGTGGCTCTGTGTTACCCACAATGCTCTGTTTCTATCAAATTTCCCTACCTTGTGAAAATCCCTTACCCTCATCACTTCCGGTGAGGGGAATCCACTGGATCCTGTGCTGCACATGCGTGCTAGCACTCCTGCAACTCCTCCACAGCAAGGTCCTGGAAGGTAAGTAAAACTAGTTTTACACTTTCATTATAGTTAGTGCATTCACTAAGCTTAGGCACATGGGACATTTAGGGTTAAGTGAGGGTTCAAATTAGGGTTAGGTAAGTGATTTTAACCTCTCTCACACTCTATTCTTACCCTAACCCTTGGGGTAAGGGTTAAAATAAAGTGTGAGAAATCACTATTTAGAAATATTCCCCTAATGTGAAATATCACTAAATATGAACAAGTCCCTAATCCTAATTTGAACCCTAACATTAACCCTAAATGTCCCATGTCCTAAGCTTAGTGAATGCACTAACTATAATGAAAGTGTAAAACTAGTTTTACTTACATTCCAGGACCTGGCTGTGTTACTTTTTTTCCAGGACCTGGCTGCGTTACTTACCTTCAAGGACATGGCTGTGTTATTTACCTTCCAGGACCAGGCTGTGTTAATGGCTGTGTTAGTTACCTTCCAGGACCTGGCTGTGTTACTGGCTGTGTTATTTACCTTCCAGGACCTGGCTGTGTTACTGGCTGACCTGGCTGTGTTACTGTGTTACTGACCTTCCAGGACCTGGCTGTGTTAATGGCTGTGTTACTGACCTTCCAGGACCTGGCTGTGTTACTGGCTGTGTTACTGACCTTCCAGGACCTGGCTGTGTTACTGGCTGTGTTACTGACCTTCCAGGACCTGGCTGTGTTAATGGCTGTGTTACTGACCTTCCAGGACCTGGCTGTGTTAATGGCTGTGTTATTTACCTTCCAGGACCTGGCTGTGTTAATGGCTGTGTTATTTACCTTCCAGGACCTGGCTGTGTTAATGGCTGTGTTATTTACCTTCCAGGACCTGGCTGTGTTAATGGCTGTGTTATTTACCTTCCAGGACCTGCCGCTGTGTTACTGGCTGTGTTACTGACCTTCCAGGACCTGCCTCTGTGTTACTGGCTGTGTTACTGACCTTCCAGGACCTGGCTGTGTTAATGGCTGTGTTATTTACCTTCCAGGACCTGGCTGTGTTACTGGCTGTGTTATTTACCTTCCAGGACCTGCCGCTGTGTTAAAGGACCACTATAGTGCCAGGAAAACATACTCGTTTTCCTGGCACTATAGTGCCCTGAGGGTGCCCCCACCCTCAGGGACCCCCTCCCGCCCGGCTCTGAAAAGGGGAAAGGGGTAATAACTTACCTTTTTCCAGCGCTGGGCGAGAGCTCTCCTCCTCCTCTCCGCCTCCGTTCGGCCCGCCGGCTGAATGCGCACGCGCGGCAAGAGCTGCGCGCGCATTCAGCCTGTTGCATAGGAAAGCATTTACAATGCTTTCCTATGGACGCTGGCGTGCTCTCACTGTGATTTTCACAGTGAGAAGCACGCAAGCGCCTCTAGTGGCTGTCAATGAGACGGCCACTAGAGGATTAGGGGGAAGGCTTAACCCATTCATAATTATAGCAGTTTCTCTGAAACTGCTATAATTATGAAAAAATGGGTTAACCCTAGAAGGACCTGGCACCCAGACCACTTCATTAAGCTGAAGTGGTCTGGGTGCCTAGAGTGGTCCTTTAATGGCTGTGTTATTTACCTTCCAGGACCTGGCTGTGTTAATGGCTGTGTTATTTACCTTCCAGGACCTGGCTGTGTTAATGGCTGTGTTACTGACCTTCCAGGACCTGGCCGTGTTACTGGCTGTGTTACTGACCTTCCAGGACCTGGCTGTGTTAATGGCTGTGTTACTGACCTTCCAGGACCTGGCTGTGTTAATGGCTGTGTTACTGACCTTCCAGGACATGGCTGTGTTACTGGCTGTGTTACTGACCTTCCAGGACCTGGCTGTGTTACTGGCTGTGTTACTGACCTTCCAGGACCTGGCTGTGTTAATGGCTGTGTTACTTACCTTCCAGGACCTGGCTGTGTTAATGGCTGTGTTACTGACCTTCCAGGACCTGGCTGTGTTAATGGCTGTGTTACTGACCTTCCAGGACCTGGCTGTGTTAATGGCTGTGTTACTGACCTTCCAGGACATGGCTGTGTTACTGGCTGTGTTACTGACCTTCCAGGACCTGGCTGTGTTACTGGGTGTGTTACTGACCTTCCAGGAACTGGCTGTGTTACTGGCTGTGTTACTGACCTTCCAGGACCTCGCCGTGTTAATGGCTGTGTTATTGACCTTCCAGGACCTGGCTGTGTTACTGGGTGTGTTACTGACCTTCCAGGACCTGGCTGTGTTAATGGCTGTGTTACTGACCTTCCAGGACCTGGCTGTGTTACTGGCTGTGTTACTGACCTTCCAGGACCTGGCTGTGTTACTGGCTGTGTTACTGACCTTCCAGGACCTGGCTGTGTTACTGGCTGTGTTACTGACCTTCCAGGACCTGGCTGTGTTACTGGCTGTGTTACTGACCTTCCAGGACCTCGCCGTGTTAATGGCTGTGTTATTGACCTTCCAGGACCTGGCTGTGTTACTGGGTGTGTTACTGACCTTCCAGGACCTGGCTGTGTTACTGGCTGTGTTACTGACCTTCCAGGACCTGGCTGTGTTACTGGCTGTGTTACTGACCTTCCAGGACCTGGCTGTGTTACTGGGTGTGTTACTGACCTTCCAGGAACTTGCTGTGTTACTGGCTGTGTTACTGACCTTCCAGGACCTGGCTGTGTTACTGGCTGTGTTATTTACCTTCCAGGACCTGGCTGTGTTACTGGCTGTGTTATTTACCTTCCAGGACCTGGCTGTGTTACTGGCTGTGTTATTTACCTTCCAGGACCTGGCTGTGTTACTGGCTGTGTTACTGACCTTCCAGGACCTGGCTGTGTTAATGGCTGTGTTACTGACCTTCCAGGACCTGGCTGTGTTACTGGCTGTGTTACTGACCTTCCAGGACCTGGCTGTGTTACTGGCTGTGTTACTGACCTTCCAGGACCTGGCTGTGTTAATGGCTGTGTTATTGACCTTCCAGGACCTGGCTGTGTTAATGGCTGTGTTATTTACCTTCCAGGACCTGGCTGTGTTACTGGCTGTGTTACTGACCTTCCAGGACCTGGCTGTGTTAATGGCTGTGTTACTGGCTGTGTTACTGGCTGTGTTAATGGCTGTGTTACTGACCTTCCAGCTGACCTTCCAGGACCTGCTGTTAATGGCTGTGTTACTGACCTTCCAGGACCTGGCTGTGTTACTGGCTGTGTTACTTACCTTCCAGACCTGGCTGTGTTACTGGCTGTGTTACTTACCTTCCAGGACCTGGCTGTGTTACTGGCTGTGTTACTTACCTTCCAGGACTGGCTGTGTTACTGGCAGTGTTACTGACCTTCCAGGACCTGGCTGTGTTACTGGCTGTGTTACTGACCTTCCAGGACCTGGCTGTGTTATGGCTGTGTTACTGACCTTCCAGGACCTGGCTGTGTTACTGGCTGTGTTACTGACCTTCCAGGACCTGGCTGTGTTACTGGCTGTGTTAGTGACCTTCCAGGACCTGGCTGTGTTAATGGCTGTGTTACTGACCTTCCAGGACCTGGCTGTGTTAATGGCTGTGTTATTTACCTTCCAGGACCTGGCTGTGTTAATGGCTGTGTTACTGACCTTCCAGGACCTGGCCGTGTTACTGGCTGTGTTACTGACCTTCCAGGACCTGGCTGTGTTAATGGCTGTGTTACTGACCTTCCAGGATCCAGCTGATTCCCCTCACCGGAAGTGACGAGGTGGGGAATCTGATAGACCAGCGGTTGGTTTCGCTGTTCGCGGTGCCAGCTGTTCGGTGACGTAGGTCCCTGGTTGCCATGGTGATAGAGACATCAATTCCCGCGTCAGAGCCTTTCGTTACTAAGCAACTGGGTGGGACATGAAGATGCTGACGTAAGAGATACGTAACCGGGGCGTGGCCATGCCTCGATCGGGGCGGGGTTAGGGGCGTGTCTTGGAGCCAAGATTATTGGAGACACGTGACTCCGTCATTTACTGACAGACCGAGCCGGGGGCCACACTGAGAGCCGGGAGCCAGGGGCCACACTGAGAGCCGGGAGCCAGGGGCCACACTGACAGTGAGTGTACCCCCCTATATCTCCCTGTACCCCCCTATATCTCCCTGTACCCCCCCTATATCTCCCTGTACCCCCCCTATA